TGTGTGTGTGTGTGTGTGTGTGTGTGTGTGTGTGTGTGTGTGTGTGTGTGTGTGTGTGTGTGTGTAAGTGTCTTTGACCTTCACAAAAACCCTTTGGGTTGGCAACACATTGTTAATACTACAAATAAACTTGAAAAGAGAGCTGAAGTCTTTGTCAGAAGGATGGTTAAAATTACACTGTCACAGGAATAGTTCAGCTGAAATTCTCTAGTACAATCTCAGTAAGTGCTTGTTTTCATAATATTGCCTTTATGTTAGACCATAGTTGATGGTCTTTTACAAAAATGTATTATGGTAAGTAACCAGTTTCCACCAAATTATCATCAGGTATTTATGGCGTATTTAATGAGCCCTACACCTGACATGCATAATATATTTAATTAAATCAAAGCAAGGGAATGAATTATTGATTTGTGGACATATTTTCACTAAAACAAGGGAACTAATTCATAAAACAAGATAAAGAATTCTTAGTTTGTGGTTGCGATTTAACTAAAAAGTAGGAACGAATGAATAAATCGAGGGAAAAAATGTATAATTTGTGGCCACAATAAATATACTTTTGTCCTACAGGGATCTGTAGGTATTAGTGGTGTTTGCTAAAGAAAAATATTGCTCTTTGCTTTAGAGATTCATACGTCACACTGCAACATTCATGTTGTCATCATGAGGGCTTGTGAAAAGGGCTCGTGCGAAATGCATTTTTAAAATGATTTCATAATGTTTGCTGAGGTGTGTTTATAATCTTAGTATCATCAAAACTGTCATTTTTAGATTAAAAATAAATTGTAATTTTCTACCTTGATTTCAGTCCTCTGATAGGAAGGGGCGTGTCTGCTGTGAGACTTCTATGGAGCCAGATCAGCCTCAAAAATAATACATTTACAAAACAAAATTCATAAATGCACAGCACAATTTACATTTACAAAATCCGATACGTAAATTCAAAACACAATTCATAAATACACAAAAAAAGTAAAAGCATAAATATTTCCCCAAATGCTCACACAAATGCATCTTACCTAAATAAATGTAAAATGTTTACACAAATACGTATATATCAAGTTCTTGAATTAATTTCCATCACACAGAATCGGATTTTGTAAATGTAAATTGTGCTGTGCATTTATGAATTTTGTTTTGTAAATGTATTATTTTTGAGGCTGATCTGACTCCATAGACTTCAATCTAAACAGACACTGCTATGATTGGCTAACATCTTTGCATATGAAATCAGCATTAGCTCTCTAGAAACGTTTACTGTGCCTTTACTGTAACAGCCACCAAGATTAACTGATTGTGAAAAGTGTTGATTACAGCATTATATTTAGAATTACTCCCGTTGCATCAATGTAGCCGAACACAGTCTACTTACACATGAATACCACAACGATCTCCTTATTGCAACAAGATTTCTGAAGTCTAACGAATACTTTCGTCATAACTAACAGTGAAAATGCAATGTAATAAGAGACTGGTTGAGCAGTGCAAACTGTGTCATTGACCATAATGGTAGTTTGGTGAAAACGCAGAAAACAGATGATCTTGTATTGACTGCTCCAGCTTTGATCGCTTATAGAGAACAATATAGAGAACAGATGGTTTTCACGCTGCTGACAGGAACAGTGTGAAGTCGATTGTTTAATCACTGGCTTGATTCACTAAACAGCAGTAAAGACAAAGAACGTACAGTCCTTTACAAATTACACTGATCACATCATGATGCTCATGAATTTCAGATATTTAGATTGTTTCTTGAGGTTAGTCTATAAAGATTGACAGCAGTATCACAGCATTTTTCTACATTTTTGCTAAATAAAAGTATATACATTTCTATTTAAGAAAAAACTACTGATGCTAAGCTTTTGAATAGTAGTGTATGTCTTTAAAAATTTAAATCAAATGACAGATGTATAGATATCTCCTATTACATATTTCTACAGAAGCATGTAACTGTAACTAAATATGGCTGGTAATTTGGCAGAAACCATGGTTAACATGGAATGTTTTTGAAAGTGTCATTTGAGCCGTCAGAAATGCTGAACGAGTAAAAGTGCTTTGTCTTCATATTGGGTTTCACAGTGTGTGTATGTGACATATATGTGTGGCTCCTCTGTGGTGGAGTGACGGAGCTACAAGTTTGATGACTATAGAGAAATCCTTGAGTGGTGTCATAAAAAAAGGTGTTATTTCACTCGGACTTCAACCCTCATGTCTTCTGACTCGCATTTGAGTTATAATGTTATCACGCGCCATTCTCTGTTCTGTGGCGGTGTCAGTGTGCTATACTACTGTTGTGTCATTCGACAGGAAAGCTAAGTGGAAAAACAGTACTGGTCTCCACATGTTCTTCATAAAACGTCACAAGACACACCTTTATGTGCATGGCAAAGAAAAAAGTGCAGTGCAAGACGCTCTGGCAGTTGTAACATTTCTAAAGCCCACACGAAATCACAATTGAATTTACCCTACTTCATGCATGTACTTCATTCTACCTCAGCCATGTTTTATATGTAAGAAGAGCTTGCATGCAATACAAATGGAGATTTGACAGTTTGCTAATACAGCAGTCCTTCTGCTGTTTCAGAGCAGCTTACATTGTGCCTTGTCAGCAGAGGCCTGTAACACCGGATATTCATGTGACATGATAAATTTAAGAACCATGTTCTTAAAGTGCAGTTTAATTACAAAACCCATTAACTAAACATAAAAGAACCCAGATCTAAAGAGGACTAGACTATAAACTCATGACTTTTTCAAGAGGTGAACAACATATCGATGACTGATATGTCATTCACTGATAACATATTCAGTTATTATTAAAGTGCCCCTATTATGCCATTAAGGTTTCTAACAGTGTTTTGGGAGTCTCCTACAATAGGTTTACATGCCTACAAGGTCAAAAAAATGCTTCTGTTATCTCAAAACATGCATTTAATTTCACCTCATTTTCCAACAATTCTCAAAACGATTCGTTCGAAGCAGTTTGAAGATTCAGTCTCTCTAAACCCCTCCTTTCCATGAGCCTACTCTGCTCTGATTGGTCAGATGGCCCGGTCTGTTGTGATTGGTCTACCGTGCACAGCACGTGCCGGAAACCATACGCCCATTGCCATAGTTCTGTCTTTTGAACACTCGATATAAAATATCAACATTTATTAATATAAACATATACTGTAGGTTGTGATTCAGTGGAGCTTTGAAATAATTGAAATAAATTGAAATAAAGCTGAAAAACGTTCAAATACGAAAACGAAAACCTTACACTTGAAAAACTTGAATGGAAATTAGAAATGTTGCCTAAAATAAGTTTAAGCACTTTAACTGAAATAAAAAAAAATTAAAACGAAGTAGAAGTATTAAAAAAAACACTAATATTAAGAATAATGGCAAACACACATAACAAGATGACTAAAACATGAATAAAAAACTGAAGATACAAAAATTAAAGCTAATTCAAAATATTTATTATTTATTCGTTTGTTGTTGTGCATGAAATAAATATGCTTTTTGTATTCTAGCAGTTGGGCCCTTTACAACAATATGACACATGGCTGTCTGATTACTAATTCATGTTATGGTTACTATGATCATATTTCATAAATATGAAATGAGTCAGTTCTGATTTGTTAGCAAATTGCCATTCACAATTTAAAAGTTGATTATTTGCTATCTGTGGTTTTGAATACATAATCTAATTAACTAGCTGAAAAAGGGTTTGAAAGAGTTAAACTGCAAGAAGTAAAATTAGTGGTTAGTTCTTGATTGTCAGTTATTGTTAATGGCTTAGAAATACCCCATCCTGGAAATTACCTGTCATTTTTTGGGAGTTGCTCAATATTAGCAGTAGATATGTAATTAAAGTAGTTTAAAGGGATAGTTCACCCAAAAATGATAATTTTGTCATCATTTATAAAAAAAAAAGAAGATATTTTGAATAATGTGTGTAACCAGTTGATGTAAAACAAATACTATGGAAGTCAATGGCTACCAGCAACTGTTTGGTTACACACATTCTTCAAAATATCTCCTTTTGTGCACAACAGAAGTAAGAAAGAAATTCATACAGGTTTGGAGCAACTTGAAGGTGTGTAAATGATGACAGACTTTTCATTTTTGGGTGAACTGTCCCTTTAAATGTCTTTCTAAATGTGTCTTAAATGGTCATTTAGTATGCACTTCTTACGTTGTGTGTTTCAGACATGCGATCATGATGATGATGATGTTGAGATCGCCGTGGACAACGCTGCCTTTATGGATGAGTTCTTCTCCCAGGCATGTTCTTCTGTGTATTTTACAGTGTGTGTTTTTTGAAAATACTTTTGGTGTGCTTTGCCTGAATGTGTGTCATTTTGACCTTTATTGCTTGTTTCAGATTGAAGACATCAGGAACAGCATTGATAAGATCGATGAGAATGTGGCTGTAGTGAAGAAAATTTACTCAGTTATTCTTTCTGCACCAACATCAGACCAGAGTAAGAGACGGGCTCATGTGCGCTCATTGTGGGCATTTTGACCCAGTTCTGCATTGTTTTCCACTGACTGGTAGTAGCAGGTTAAACACACTGAACATGAGTCATATACTGTAGTGATAATGTTGTATATCACAGCTAGTGTAAAGGTAGCATCTGTTCATTAGAGTTCTGTTCATTAACATTAGTTCATGCAATAATTAACATGAACAGACAGTCAACAATACTTTTATTGCATTTGTTAAATGTCAATTTCAACACATGTAAAAATGTTTATAACATTATCTCTCTTCAAAAAAAACTGTAAAAATGTTACAGTAACAAACTGTAAATTGGTTAACTGAAAAATTACCTTAACATATATGGTGAAAAACTCTAATTGGTTTAACATAATAATATATGCATTTTTACTGTAAAATACTGTCAAATTTTGTCGAATTCATAGGAAACTGAACAACCATAGGACATTCCTAGAAGTTTCTTCATGACACTTCACATATGATTATTTTATTACATTTAAAATTAAATTAAATTAAATTGTATTAAATTTTTTTCTTATCATTACTGGACATTAATGATACTTTTTCTGTTATGAGTTAATGTTCATTGTAAAATACACAGGCACCAATATCCTATCCAGTGCCACCATGTTTTTAAGTTCTGGCAACTACAGTGTCCTTTTTATACCTTAAATTTAAAAATATATGTTTTACGCTGTACATGTGCTAATACATTTTTAACATCAAGCTGAATAAGTTAACATTAGTTAATTTATGAGCTAAAATTATCAGTGAACAACTGAATAATTAAAAATGTCAAATCTTTTTATAAGATACCTAATGAAACTCATTAGAAATAAAACTCATGGCAGATTTATTCAGACATAAAATAAGACATCACAAACAGGTTAAGTAAAACTATAATAAATATGTAATATAATGCATATACAGTGGTGTGAAAAAAAGGTGTTGGCCCCCTTCCTGATTTCTTATTTTTTTGCATGTTTGTCACACTTTAATGTTTCAGATCATCAAACAAATTTAAATATTAGTAAAAGATAACTCAAGTGAACACAACATGCAGTTTTTAAATGAAGGTTTTTATTATTAAGGGAAAACAAAATCCAAAACTACATGGCCCTGTGTGAAGAAGTGTTTGCCCCCTAACCTAGTAACTGGTTGGGCCACCCTTAGCAGCAACAACTGCAATCCAGCGTTTGCGATAACTTGCAATACCACTGTATTTAGCAAAATGCTCCTTTCTAGAGTTATTTCGTTTCTAGTTGACTAATGGGTTATAGGACATATTGTTTATAAACTGTTTTTATTGACATCGATTACATGAGATATGATACACTGCAGTAAGTTCTGTTTCCTTCATAAGAGACTTAAAAAAAAAAAAATCCCGAGCCCAAACTCCGTTTAGTCTACTGAGCTTTGAAAGAACAACCTTTTAACAATGACAAAACACACACATCTTCATCTGCTGAACTTCTGTTTTCTTTTCTGTGAACAGAAACGCAGGATGATTTGGAGTCGCTTACTAACGATATCAAGAAAATGGCCAACAATGCTCGTAACAAACTGAAGAGTAAGTGTCTCTGCTCGTTTACAGGACTGCTTTGTGCTGTTCTCATTAGGTGAAAGAAATAGGCCACAAAGAACTAGGCTTGGCTTTACAAACACTTCTGACCCAGAATAATGTGAGCCATTTATCTTTTACCTTTAGAAAAGCAATATTTACCCTGTTGTCAATGTTATTTGAGTATCACTGAGATGCTACTTTTCATATTTGTTTTAATTTTATTTCAAGTTTTAGTAATTGTGTTTTTGATATTTTTATAAGTTTTTTCTTTTCTTTCTTTTTTTTAAATGTCTATATTCGTTTTAATGCTGTTTTAGTCATTTTAGTACATCAAATTAAACTAAATGAGAGCTAGTTTATGGTTAACATGGTTAATGTTTGTGGTGTCTGTAAAATGGGTACAAATAAAGTGAACCTGAACCTAAATGTTGCTTTGGCAACTAGCTGAAAAGTAAGGTTAAGGGTTTTTTTTATGATGTTATTTTAGTTTTAGTTACCTAATAATATAATGTGTGTGTGTGTGTGTGTGTGTGTGTGTGTGTCCATACAGCCATTGAAAGGAATCTCGAGATGGAAGAAGTGGAGAGAGTATCGGCCGACTTGAGAATACGCAAATCACAGGTGAGTCTGCATCCCGCTCAGGTAACACACACAAATACACATGCTCTATTAACTCTGCCCTCATGTTGCCCTGCCAGCACGCCGTACTTTCCAGGAAGTTTGTTGATGTGATGACCAAATACAATGAAGCTCAGGTGGACTTCAGAGAGAAAAGCAAAGGTCGCATTCAGAGACAGTTAGAGATCAGTAAGTCACTCCTGACTAAACAGCAGTGCGTGAGACAGCTCTTATCAAACAGTGTGCAGCGTACAGCACGTTTCTTTCTCAAGCTTGTGGTTGAAGCGTGTCAAACTGACACTGTGCTATTCCCCTTTTCTGTCGTTGACTTGCTTTTGTTCTGCTTCTCGTTCTAGCTGGTAAAACCACAACTGATGAGGAGCTGGAGGAGATGCTGGAGGGAGGAAACACAGCCGTTTTCACAGCGGGGGTAATGCATGCGTGCATGTGTGTGTGGCAGAGCTGGAGTCAAAACCTTTCCCTTCCTCATAGCGTGCTCCCATAGGCAGTGCACGAGATCCATAGTCTAAAGCAGCACTCAGAAAAAGAGGTACAAAGCTGTCACTGTGGCGCTAGCCTTTCAAAAGATACTATGTACTAGAGCTGTCAAAAAAAAATTCAAATTTCGAATATTCGTCGAATAAAAAAAAAAATCCACATTAGAATGCAAAAACGTTGCATTTGAATTTTAGGTCTGCGTCAGCCATCAGGCAGCCTTATCAGTGGCGCACGAAGCATAAGTGTCATTGCATTTTAATCCTTTTGTTAGCCTATCCAGTTGAACCCACTAGATGCAGCGCTGCTACGTTGTTCATTCAATATATTGCGGAAAACAAGAACAATCAATGCGGAGAAGATATTGTTCACGTCAAAACTGAAAACAAGC